ATTTCTATAAATATCTCAATTAATTGGGTTGCAAGGGTTGTACAAATACACAAGGTTGTAAAAGAAATATACCTTATATATATATATATATATAGAGAGAGAGAGAGAGAGAGAGAGATGAGCGTTCAAATAAAAACCACCTAATTTGTACAAACCGTGAAAACTACATTCAACCAATAATAATTTTTCATTTTGTTCATTTTTTTGTAATTATAAAAGGTTGATTAACCATTTTTATTATGAAGGGTGTTAATCATGGATATTATCATCTTCATTATTTTAATTTTAGAGAAATACATGAAACAGTTTCATTAAAATTTCATTAAATTATATGAAAAAATTCCATAACCATATATGAAACAAATTCATCAAAAAAGTATTATATGAAAAAATTTCATGAAAAAATTTCATAATATTAAACAATGAAATCGACGTAAGATGGTGGTTTGTACGGTTTGTACAAATGAGGGTGGTTTTCATTTGAATGCTCCTATATATATATATATACATACATACATATATATATATATATATATATACTTGGGATCATGTGAGACCAAAGGTTTTTCGTGAGACCCGTAAGACCAATTCTCAACCATTGGATTAGATCTACAATATGACAATTTGAACATTCATAAACGCCACGAGACTTCTCAATAATCACAAAATTGTCATCGTGCAACTTTAGACCATTAGATCATTAGCTTATAAAGTTGATCAATGAACATAAATTGGTTTTACGGGTCTCACGAAAAACCCTTGGTCTCACGTGAACCCAACCCTATATATATATATATATATATAGACTTGGGATCATGTGAGACCATGGTTTTTCGTGAGACCCATAAGACCAATTTTCAACCCTTGGATTAGATCTACAATCTGAATATCTATAATCACAAAATTGCCACGAGACTTCTCAATAATTACAAAATTGTCACCTTGCAACTTTAGAGCATTAGATCATTAGATTATAAAGTTGATCAATGAAAATAAATTGGTCTTACGGGTCTCACGAAAAATTCTTGGTCTCACGTGAACCCAACCCTATATATATATATATATATATATATATATATATATATATATATGAGTAGCTATCTGGTTTCAGTTTTTTACCTATTTTGATGGTTAAAAAGTTACATTTTTATCTCGTTTAGGAGCTTTTTATATACAACTAAATGGACATAATGGTCTAGACGACTTATTCGTTTAGTCATAAAAGAGTATTTTTTTTATAGCTTAATCATTGAGCCATTTAAACCAAAATGGCTATATGGAATAAGTTAGGACCTCTCACTTGTCCTGTTAAGCCACCTCAAACAAACTAATATAGAAATTGCCCCATAAGTAATCCGACCCTCTTTATTTGCCTTCCTCAAACTTAACAATTTCCCGTTCTTGAGACAAATAACTGAACTCATATAAGAATTAATGGAAAACAAAGTAAACAATAAGTGCGACATTCTGTGACTTCTGTCCAATGTAATTAAAGCATACTGGGCGATTTTAAAGTATCTCCAACAGATAATCTAAAATAGAGAACAAAACCTTAATTTTTTCAAAAAACCAGAAGTTTTGTTCTATGTTGTTCTCTAAATAGAAAAAAACATACAAAAACTCCCAAGTAACTTCATGTGAGAAAAAAAGAACTGATTTTTTTATTCATTCCACCAATCGGACTGAATTAATATGAATTTTTTTATAAAAATGTATCAAGATAATAAAATTATAAAATATTTTTGATAATATAATCAATGATGAAAATTGTACGGTAAAAAATTTGTTGAGATTGAATGTAATTTTTTCAAAAATTTTAAATTTTGGTTATGAGAGAAATTATGTGGGATAAAATTCTTTGAGGGACCAATTTTTGAATTGTTGAAACTGGGAGGAGGTAAAATGAAAAATTAAAACATGATGCGATTGGGTTTACTCATTTGGGGTTTATAATTTCAAGGCATATTCTTCCATTATCGTCGCTACAAGGGTTTAGCCTCCCTCTGAACCACCATCGCCGCCGCCACCACCAAATGGAATTGGCTCTCACCAATGTCACCTACCGCCACCACCCACACCCTCTCTCCCTCGTCCACCGCCACCGTCCCTTCTCTAAATCGATATCGTTCCACAAACCACCATCGTTTTCATCGTTAACATCAACCACAGCGTCGTTCCGTAACCCTAGTTCCAAAACCCCTAAACCGCAATTAACAAAATTCGTAAACCCTACCTCACTCTCCTTCCTCAAATCCACCTTCGTCGTCGGCGTCACCGTCACCGCAATTTTCCTCTCACGTTTCACCGTCAAACCCGCAATCGCCACCCCTGTTTCATCACCTCCAACTCCCGCCACCGTCGAAACCGCCGATTCTAACGCAGAAGAACAACAAGAAGAACAAGCCCTAGAAGAGCATCTATGCTCTCATCCTGAAGACACCAAAGCTCTGAAATCCCTAATGGAATTGAAAATCAAAATTGGAAAGGTCCAGGAAGCTGTTGGTATACTCAATCAGTTGATTAATCTCGAACCAGAAGATAGCGAATGGGAATTGCTTAAGAATCATTTGCATTCATACGACGGAGATCACGAATCTGCGAAATTAGGGTTTGAGAAGATTCTATCAAAAGACCCTTTACGCGTAGAAGCTTATCATGGTTTAGTAATGGCTGCTTCTGCAAAAGAATCCCCAACTGAATTGCAAGATGTTGAGAAAAGGATCTTGGAAGGAATGGAGAAGTGCAAGAAAGAAAGAAAGAAAGATGACTTAAGGGATTTTAAACTTCTATTAGCTCAAATTCGTGTAATCCAAGGGGATTATAAAGGTGCTTTAAAGATTTATGAGGAGTTATCGAAAGAAGAACCTCGCGATTTTAGGCCATATTTGTGTCAAGGGATTATATATACAATGTTAGGAAAGAGTGATGATGCTGAGAAGAATTTCGAAAGGTACAGAAGGCTTGTTCCTAAGGGACATCCTTATGCTAGATATTTTGATGATAATATGGTTGCAACTAAGCTTTTTGCAGAGAAGGTGGAGAGGGAACGTGCTTATTCAAAGAGCTGAATGGGAAAGAGGGTGCTGATCTTGTATAGCAAAGGTTCTACTTTGATACTCTGCTGTGCTTTTTGTTCATTGTTTGGTTCTTGGGGTAGTGGTGTTTTACTTGTTAGCAGGCTTAATAGAATCTTGTTTCAATTGGGGTCTATTGGGAAGACTTATGATTTGAGTGTGGTTTTAAGTTTTGGTGGGATGTTGCTCAGTGATTAAAGTAGCTTTTTTTTTTCATGTTATAATGAGGAAGTTGTTACTTGTGTTAGTTAGATGTTGTCTACATTGCTATTTGTGTGATTCGATTCCAAGAACATCGTTAACGAATTTAGGGATTCTATTTATACGGTATTGGAGGAAATGTAGTTAATCACTTGGGGTTGTATTGTACCGGCTAAGGCTTAGGGAGATGTAGCATGAATCTTATCTGTTTGGGGTTTGTATCTACTGTTGTCAAAGCTTTTGTGATCATGGAGGTTCACCTGTGATAATGATAGTGACAGGCCATTCGTGGTTGTCAGGGATTAGTAGTTGCGCATAAGCTGGCATGGATATCTAAAAAATGAAGTGATTTGATTTTCTTGATTTTAGGAGAAACAAAGATAGACCCATGAAGTGGAGAATGGAGAATTTAGGGCAAATGGTATGAATTAATGATGTCAAGGATGAAATAAGGTTGGATCACTTGGGATCATATGAGATTAAGTGTTTTTCGTGAGATCCGTAAGACCAATTCTTAACTGTTGGATTAGATCTACAATATGAACATTCATAATCTCAAAATTGCCACGAGACTTCTCAATAATCACAAAATTGTCACCGTACAACTTTAGACCATTAGATCATTCTCTTATAAAGTTGATCAATGAACATAAATTGGTCTTACTGGTCTCACTAAAACCCCTTGGTCTCACGTGAACCTGATCCAAGGTTGCATTCCACTTCTCTTTGGATCTTTGGGGATGCCATTACTTTTGTAGGTAGAATAATCTTCTTAGCATTCAGTTCATTAGATTCCAATTCTTCAGCGAGATTCCATTCCAATTCTGCAAACTAAATGTTTGGTCAAATTTCATTCCAGTTCAAATTTCTTTGATAGATTCCGATTCTATCAAATTCCATTCTGAAAACCGAAGTTCCCTTAGCATTTAATTTTCTAGCTTCTTTGGGTTTTCTTTGTCGGGTTCTATCTTGGAGTCGATATAAGATAACTTCCGGTAGTTGTTAGTATTGCGCTCGGTGTTTTTCTTATTTGTTATGCTACTGTTACATCAATCCGTTTTGTGGTTTGATATAGCGGTTAGGGTTATTCTATTTGAACACAATTTATCATTAATCATAACTTAAATGATTTTTTATTTTTTATTTTATTTACTTAAATGATTTTTTATTTTCTTTAAATAAGTATTAGATTATTACTATTATTTTTTATTAGTTAAAAAAATAATATTATTATTATTAAAATAATCTTTGCTTAATTATTGTTGTTAAAACTAAACACTTGATAAATAAAATTATCTTTGTCAAATACTACAAATCGGATTATTTAATTTTTAAAATTATATAATAAAATAAACAATTAACAGTAAATTAAACTGTTTGGAATTGGAGGGATTTAGATTTAGGAGTTGAATTTTTGGTTTATATGAATTTAATTCTTCATAAATAATCATAAAAGTAATTAAATTCCTTTTTTGTTTAATTAATTATTACAAGATGAGTTTTTTTAAACATATTTTGAAACATTGTTTATATACAAATCTTGTAAAATCTCGTGAAATACCAACCATCCCTGTAGGATTTCAAATTTCGAATCCGGGAAATCTTTCTATCTAAACATGAGATTGGTATAAAATTCAATTTCAAATCTCTCCGAATCTGATCCTACAAATGAACGGGACCTTACTTAAACTTGTCTAAACCCTTTAAAAGTCCAACTGAAAGCCCAACTCGTAAATGTGGATTTCACATTGCTATTGCAAACTTTGTGTCCCAATTGCGGTGATTAATGCCGTTGTTAGGGGAACAACTATTTCTCACTGCTAACTCCCTAGGACTGCTAATCGCTAATATGTTCATATTTCAAGATATTCGCAGCCATAATCTTGATAAGGAGGTTCTCAACGAGTCTTACAAGTATCTATCAGTATATACATTATAATAATTAAATTATAAAGGCGGCCGAAGGAGGAAGCCCGTGAAGCACAATGATCATCTTAGACAAATAGAAAATATGAATGACAAAAAAAGAAAGATTGAAATTTTAATTCAACACATTCACAAAATCATAAGAAAAAAAAAACAGCCCCTTAAACCAAAGTACATTGCATTTTCATGCATTCTCATATGCAAACCAGGTACTTAAATGTTCGAGATGTCACATCTAAGGTCCCAAAAAGAAAGTTTTTAAGAGTACGTTACAGGAGAGAGGAGACACAAATGAAGAAACTCATTGATTGCGCTTTGGGCTTTCTGATCCCACGTAATGCTTGTATCATCTAACCTGACTAAGGGGCCGTTTACTAAACACTTACTTGGTAAGTGCTTACCGGATAAATTTTCTCATCGGATGAACATGAGAAGAGCCAAGAATCTTACCAGATAAGAGCGATTGGAGTGATGGTGAGTCTTATCCGGTAAGTGAGGATGACGACTCTTACCCAGGTAAGCACTTACCCAGTAAATTGTTGCATTCGATATGTTTTAATGTACTAAAATCTTACGCACAAAAATAAATCATAGTGTTGACTCCTATCGGTAAGCGCTTACCGGGTAAGCAATTGGGTAAACGGCCCCTAAGAATCAATTTTACCTCTCTACGGATTTTGAGGGTTTGATTAAGCAAGGCAAGAACCGATCATGTACGCCAACTGGAAATGCAAAACAACATTAAGAAATTACAATCTATTTTTAGAGTTTTGATAGTGCCCAACAATGCTATTAAAAGGAAAAGTAGTAGTATAATCATCAATCCTTGATGATCATGTAGATACTCAATAGAAAAATACATCCCTCTTTTACATAGTTGTGGAGAATAAAACAAGAATCTGAGAAGAAAATAGAGAGTACAGTTTTAATCACCATCACCATCCCCTGTTTACAGTTTGTCATTTTAGGGATTGGGAGAGAAATTGCCATCTACTCCTAACCCTGTTGGATTGTCTCTCGATATGACATCCATCTCGATCTGATCAGGAGAATCGTCTAAAGAGAGGAGCGGGATATGGGGAGAGAATTTAGGGTGGAAAGAATGAAGTGAGAACTGAAGCGATGGTGGAGAGGGGAGATAAATTAGACGGTTTTGGAGAAGGTGGAAATGGTTAGCCAGGGAAAGTAGCTTTAATACTTATTCATACAGTAGAATATTTGTCCATCTTAATTTTTCAACAATAATTGTTTTACGTGCTTATATATATATATATATATATATATATATATATATATATAGTATCTTTATAGTAAAGATAAATGGTGTAAAACGAAAAATGAAAAATAAAAAATGAAAAATGAAAAATGAAATATTTTAAGATATTAAAAATAATCCATTATGTATCTATGTTATTTAATAATATGATTAAATTCAAAAATATTCAATATAAGACTCATTTTGAAGGTATTAATGAGACGATTACAATGATATAATTTGTAAAAAAAGAAATGCATTTTTTAATTTATTTTAGTTAATATATGATTATGTTTGCTAATATGATAAATGTGTAAAATGGAAAATGAAAATGGATGAATATAAAGTAAATCAAATAACTAATTTAAGAGTATAAAGTGTAATTTTGAAATTGAAAATGATTTGGTGAAAGATTGTGAGAGGTTATAAGCTTTGTACAATATCCTTAATTGATTGTACCTCTGAATATAAAGTATAAAGTGTAACTTTGAATATAAAGCTTTGTTAAACAAAAAGACAGTGTGATACCCAAGCACATATAAGATGTATTGTGATACCATTGTGTTACATCTCCAATCGACCACACAAACAACCTCAGTGTGATACCCAAACACATATAAGATGCATTGTGATACCATTGTG